GAAAGAACTAAAATGTGACATGAATGATAGGCATATTAGTGCACTTAGGTACCCCTCCTTAGAAATTTCTTAAAGATGGGACGAGGTCCACAGAAGTTAATTTGGAATTAAAACTCTGAAACTTAGTAGCTGAAACAACTGAATTGGGTAAGATATTCCGGACTTTGACAACTCTCTTAAAAACTTTATTTTTTTTACAACCAAGTTTAAAGCAGTTGTTCTCACATGTTACAATTTGTTGGAGGTTATGTAAGTGTACCAATATTGGACAGGGAAAAAGCCAAAAGCAAGAAGGGATATTAGTCATTCTCCTTCTCTAATGTTCTCCTTCCTTCTTGCCTTCCCCCTCACATAGCAGGCTGCCAAAAAAGAGAAGGGGTAGCTTTTTGTCAGAGATCTAATCCCTCCCAAAAGGCCTCTGAAATTAATACAAATATGGCTGAAGAGCTATGTTAATCTGGAATCATCCCTTCAACAAAGCCTGTTTCACAAGGGTTGTTCTTTTCTCACAGGTCATGAGGGAACATGCCTTACAGGTAAAAGATCCTTGATCTGCTTGCTTCTTTGAAAACCACCTATATATTTATAACTCCTAAGCCCTAATGCCAGCCTGAAGCTATGAAACTTTAGTAGTGGTGAATAATTGAGAGCGTTTAAAAACAACAACCGTGCAGACAACTTACACTGGAGCTTGAATAATAGCAAAGTAATTAGGGAGTAAATAGATCCATATTACAGGTCATTACATAGGAATGCTTGATAGCAATGGAGCAGGATATGCTGTATCCATAGTATCAAGCCTACATAGCATGCTATGAGTGGTGGAAATAACTCAAAAGATGCCAAAGGTATCATCTCTGGTATGTCCAGGGATGTGCTGCTGGGGGTTCGTAGGGTTTGGGAGAGCTAAAATTCTGTGCAGTTTGGAGAACCTCCAAATCCCACTCTTGGCTGGCCCTGCCCACTACGCTCCTCCCCTCCCAGGAGTCCCCACACGGCCCATTTGGGATGCAAGTAACTGCAGGGTGTGCACGGAAGCTCAGGGAGGGTGAAAAACAGGCCGCCTGGAAGTTCAGGAAGGCCACAAATGGGCCCTTTTCTGGCCTCCAGAGAGCGCCCCCGGCGCCGGGGGGGGGAAAAAACCCCCCCCCCCCCCCGGCATAGTGCAGGAGGCCGACTAGGCCACACCCACCATGGTCACACCCACCCAGCAACTGGGCAGAGAACCCTTTGCTAAAAATTTTGAAGCCCACCCCTGGGTATGACCCTTTCAGAAGAACATAAACGAGCAAAACAAACTCAAAACTTGGTGAAGGGGATGATCAAGGGTGTCTAACAATCCCTTTAACAGAGGTGTATGTTCCCCTCCCCCACCAAGGGCCATATTTGATCTTTAGATACCCTACATGGTGTGTACTCCAAAAAGTGGATATGACCAATCCAAAAACTGAATGGCATTTAAATTAAACTTTAAATTTAAGGTTAAAGATTAGATCTTCTACAGGCACATATTTTAAGGTTTGGCACACTAATCTCTTTTATTCTTTCTGCTGGCAAGCAGCCATTAGGTTACCTCATTAGAAGGAGTGGTAGAAATCAAAATTCTCAACTCCAGAATGCTTTCCTCGCATGAAGTCATGCTTAACTTTTCATAAGAATAATTGATGTGAGGAACCAGTGAGCTAACTTCAAATGGGTTTCACACAAAGAATGATTTGGCTTGAAATAACACCGTGTCTCCTTCCCTGTGTGGAATCATTGATTTATCTGGTTAGGATTTTAAGTAGACCGTTTGCTATTTTATTCAAAAAATTTCTAATTAGAAACTTCTGATTAGAAGAACCTGTAAGGAAGCAATGGCTTCTTTATCTGACCATATACAGTAGGATTTCCCAACCGTGGCGATTTCCAGATACATGGACTTCAATTCCTAAAAGTCCACAGCCAGCATAGCCATTTATCAGAATTCTGGGGGCTGAAGTCCACTCACCTTCAATTTGTCAAAGATGAAGAATCACTGATATAGGATTTCTTAGGTATCTAATGGTCCAATGGACATTCCCAGGAGCAACACAGTTTGATCTATAAAAGTTCTTCACCAGATACCATGCTCTATAGCAGGGGTGTCAAACTCGATTTCACTGAGGGCCAAATCAGGGTTGTGTTTGACTCCGGGGGACTGGGGTGGGCGTGGCCAGGGTGGGCGTGGCCAGCTCAATGTCAACAGCTCTCCTGGGCTCTGTTTTCAGCCATGACGGCCTCCTGCAGCACGCTTCCAGAGAAAACAGAGCTTGGGACGGCTGCACATGGCCCTCCCAAACTTCTTTTTCACTAGAAGAGGCACCGTGTGGCGGTCCTTCACTGTTTCCAGGCTGGGCCCGCAGGCCGGATCTAAGCACAGGCCTTGAGTTTGACACCCCCGCTCTATAGAAATGAATTAGAAGTACAACTTAAAAGATCAGGAGATACTGTACATGCTCTATTTATCTCTATTTGAGCAGGTATCTGGTCAGATCTGTCAGCATTGTCCTGTGGTCGATCTGCTAGAAGTGAGCCATCTACCTTTTACAAATGTTGCTTTTTAAGGAATCGGGTGTTTTCAAATAATTACTTTGTGTTCCCTGACTATAATTGATTTTATATCGGTAAGTAAATACAAACGAGTTTCCGCGTGGGTGTTCAGAATCTATTTTGGATAATTATTAAAAGCAAATTATTCATCAGAAACTTGGGGAACAAAACATGCCACCAGCTAACACAAGACTTCATCTATGAAGCAAGCAGAGTGCTGGCTGTTTCAGTCAGGGTTGTGTAATGAGTTTGGCAAAGGAAATATCCCTCTCACTTCCAGGTTATTGAAATGTTGATGTGTGTTGCTGCTACTGTAGCTGCTAGATTGAATCCTGAAGACAGAGATTATTCCAAGTTTACAGATTTGCCTCTTTTCCATTTTTCGTTGCCCCTCTGAATTTGCTTATATTGATCAATGTTTCTCAACCTTGGTGGCTTTAAGATATGTGGACTTCATCTCCCAGAATTCTGGAGTTGAAGTTCAACTTCTGGGAATTGAAGTCGACAGATCTTAAAGACACCAAGGTTAAAAAACCATGATACAGACAATAAAACAATGTGAGTTGTGATGGAACTGGATTGTTTTTTGGTTTACAACACATAACCATATGGAAGTGTTCAATGCAATTGCTTCTCAACATACACTTACTTAGACAATATCAGTCTTCAGATGGCCTTTATGTTTGACCAATATGCTTTAACACGTAAAAACTCTATGAACAATCACCTAATTGATGTATTGCTAATGTAAGTTGCTCCAAGAACCTTTTTTTAAGGAAACTTTCCTGTTTTTCTCCTTTTATATGTCAGTCTCACTGATGCAAGGTTTTTAAATATAAACTTTCTCTTCTTAAAAAAAACAATGCTGCAATTTCCCCAGAATGTTGAATATCCTTGTCTTAGAACCATTCATTTAGCAACTGTTTAAATTTACAGTGGTGCTGAAAAAAATGATTTATGACCAATCCTTGCACTTACAACTATCACAATGTCCCTGCAGTCATGTGATCACGATTCAGGCACTGGGCAACCATCATACATTTATCATGATCTGCTTATAATATCCATTACATAGAACTGCATGCTTCCAAGAATGCATGATTCATAAACTTGTGTTGAATAAAACATACTCATCAGGGAAAGAGTATTGTATGAATCTAAAAATAGATTAATTTACTAATCACAGCATCCCTTGGTCATGTGATCATTGTTTGTGAACTTCGCAGCTGGTTTCACACAAGCAAAATTGACGGGAAAGCTGACAGGCAGGTAGAAGTGACGGTAATGTGAAGTCTCACTTAACAATCATAGCAAAAAGATGTGGTCACAGGATACCTTATTTAATGACTGCACCAATTAACAACAAATTTTCCTGTCTCTACTGTGATTGTAAGTTGAGGATTATCTGTAGTATACTATTTCCCTGGTGGATTTTGGGAGAAAGATGAATATCAAAGGAGTTGGATGTTAACTTTTACATTACTGTAGAGCAAGGGTGTCAAACTCGATTTCATTGAGGGCCGCATCAGGGTTGTTTTATCTCAGGGGGCTGGGATGGGTGTGGCTGGGGTAGGTGTGGCCAGCTCGACGTCACTCATGTTGGGGGTGCGCCTGTGTTGGCCCAAGTGCTCTGCCATCGAAAATGAGTTCCTGAGCTCTGTTTTTGGCTGTGACAGCTTCCTGCATGGGGCCTCCTTATCTCTGTTTTCATTGGCAGAGGCTTGCAGGAGGCCATCACATCCAAAAACAGAGTTCAGGAGCCTGTTTTCACTGGCAGAGGCACTGTGGGCTGGTCCTTTGTTGTTTCCAGGGTGGCCCTGTGGACCAGATTTAAGCACCCAGAGGGCTGGATCCACCCCCTGGACCTTGAGTTTGACATTCCTGTGGTAGAGTAAGTTTAAAGAAGGGGGTGTGATGGCTCAGGGGTTAAAGATGCTGAGTTTGTCAGCTGGAAAACTGAGAGCCTAGGTTCGAGACCCCAGCACCGTGTGATGGGGTGAGCTCCCATTACTTGTCCCAGTCCCTGCCAACCTAACAGTTTGAAAGCATGCAAATGTGAGTAGATAAATAGGTATCAGATAGATAAATAGTTAGGAAAATAAAATGTTCCATGCAGATTGATGTATAGTCATGCTGGCCATATGACCACGGAAGTGTCTTTGAATAATGCTGGTTCCCTCAGCTAAGAAACAGAGATGAGCACACATGTCCCTAGAATTGAACATGACTGGACATGAGAAACCTTTACCTTTAAAGGAATTGGAGATGGGGAGGGAGAAAGGTAGCATGTGAGATATTGAGTTTGGAAGATGAAGAAGCAAGGTGGTGTCACAACCTCCAGTTAACCACACTTGCTCTATTGCCAATAGCAGGATCAAATAAGGAGGTGGGAGAGACTGAAAGGCATCTCCTTCCATGCCACAGTGCTGATTATGGTTGATTAGATCCAAACATGAATATTACACAGCAAGTTTAGTCCAGCTTTCCTGTTCCCATCAGATTTCACAAAGCTACCCATCTCTGCCTCTCTCTCTATATATTTTTTAAAGGCACTATCTTTTCTCCTTCCTGACTAATACTATCCTGAATAGGAAAGAAGCACTAATGGAAGAATAATAAGACAAAGTAGAGATACCATTTTGGAGATTCAAATAGTCTTCAAGGAGTATGTAGTGCCCCATAAAGTGTATTTTGCAGTAGTCCAATCAGGAAGTGACTAAGACATGAGTGAATGCAAGCACAGTGCCTGGCAGCCCAGGAATGGAAGTAACTGGTGCACAAATTTGCAGTTGTGCAAAGGTCTCCCTGGCCACAGCTGCCACCTGCTCTTTGAGTAGGAGCTATGAATCCGGAAGGACCCCCAGATCGCTCATCAGTTCTGAATGGAGTGTGCCATCCCATGCAAAACCAATGAAGAAAACACTCCATGTTCCTAAAGTGGTGCCTCCCACTCATAACCCCCTCAGGAGCCTTTGATACCATAGCTGATAGTATCAAAGGCTGCTGAGAGATCAAGGGAATCAGGATGAATGCACTACCCACATCCTAGGTTTACCACAGATAAAAAACAAGCATGGCCCCACTCTAAATCCTGGCTTGAAAGTGGTTCATGCACGCTACACTGAGCCCTATTTAGTTTTACCAACCAGACTGATGTTATAGATACACTAAACCCCAAAATCGTATAACCAAGGTTATAATTGAGTAAACCCCATTAGTGATACCGGGACTTCCACCAAATTAGTTAGGCATGTTGCATGAATACAGCTTTCCATACCATAATAAACAAATTTTCTCCGAAGTCTCATATGAAAGAGAAAGCATTTAAGGTCACACTTAACACGGATTTTAAAGAATATTCACCTATGATAACTGGAAAATAAAACCTGCATTTCTGGGCTGCCAACTGGCATAAATCTGAACAACTTATATTGAGAAAAGTAAGTAGCATCATGTTAGTTTAAGTAGTTTGAAGAGTCTCTGAAGATAACAATAATACTAGCTTTTGTTTGGCTGAATATTATGCAAGCTTAAATTACAGGAGCTCTATTGGAAGAAAATTAAATCTGAAAAATATTTATTTTTCCTTTAATATTTTGCTTCCTGAAATTTTCTTGAAATGAACTCTGCCTCTCTGTCCTCTTCAGTCTTCTAATTTTTATTCACATAATTGGAAAACTTTTCCTCTAACTTGAACGTGCTTTGTTTCTTAGGATCTTAGGACTTTTCTTCCTTAAGATCTGTTTCCTGCTTGACAACATTTAAGCAAAAACAAGAAACCCTTTTTGTAATTTTAGTACAAAATCTTTGAGAGCATTCTTTTGGCTAGACTGGGACAAGTGCTTGTTAATCATCAAATGAAAAACCGTAGAAACTATCAGGTACAATAGTCTTTTAGCAGTAAGAATCTGAAAAAAAAATATGAAACTGAAGAAAACATCTTACCTTGGTATGAAAACATTATTAAGCATATAGTAACCAAGAAAGCTTGGATCATTTTGGATCTTGGATTTGGCTGGTGGACAGGGAAATTCTTTCTGCCTTCCAGCCAACCTGAGTGCTTCTCCTGTTAACTGTGAGAAGCAAGTAGTGAGTGCTCCAGCTTTATTCATGCCCTTACACGAGGAAGTGTTTGCTAAAGGTGTTGCACAACTTCAAAGTTGCAACATTACTACTAGAAGGCAAGGTTCCAGCTGGCTTAGCGCATGTCACTCCAACAATGATACCTGGAAGAGTTCTTTCAAAGCGGGCCCCAAAGCCAAAGCCAAAAGGAGGAGATTAAGTGATCACATAAGAGCTCTCCCTGGCTGGTATGCTAATACAATTAAATTTGTGCGCTCTTGTGCAAAGGGTTTTAAACGCCAAGAAGACAGCAGCGAGTTGGTTTTTGTAGTATTTTGTGAGTCAGGGGCACTTTTTGAACAATCTAATATCCTTTCAATGTTGCTAGCATTTAGTGCTAGTTGGTAATCAGGAAGCTCAAGGAGCGGGCTTGTAGCCTCTGAAAAATGGTGTTATTGGTGGAAAGAATCCATGCCAATGCATCTACCAAAAGGATTCTTGCCTTCACTACAGGGGGGAAACTTTATGCAATAATAGATTTTTTTTTCAGTTTGTAAAAACCCCAAGAACGTTTGTTATTCTCTTAGTGTAACACCTCCACAAACCCCTCTATTTTCTGAAACAAGAGATTTATATGTTGGTCATCCAAATGTCATCTGCAGTAATATGCACTCAAAGGGTTTTGAAGGGGAACTAGGAGATGAATCACATAGCAGAGTGAATCATTTCAATTGCCGTAAGGGGAGCCTACTTTTCCCTTATAATCTCTCCTTTTGTCTCCACCTGGGATAGACATCTACAACACCAAAATAAAGACGAGGGTGAACAAAGGAGGTAGAACCCACTCTCCTGTTAAAGGTAAAGCAGAAATCTTTGTGAAGCAAAAGGGGGGTGGTAGAGGAAAAACTACTTTTGACTACTTTTTGCCAATTTTAGAGGAAAGAGAAGCCACAATAGAAACAGCAATTTCATTCCAAGAGGACAAAGGCAAAAGAAACTTCTCTTCATATTTTAGAAACAAGGAGGTATGTGAGCCTTTGAAACTCTCTTTGGTGGCCATTTATCATCATTAGCAGTCCTCTCTTGCAATGGCACCAAACTAATTAAAATGGCAATGCTCGTCTAGGTGAAAAGCTATAGAAGTAGCCTCAAGCCACATCTTATGCTGATTTTAAGATTTCTCTTAGAGAGGAGGATAAATGATAAACCAGTGTTACAGTGTACGCATGTCCCTGCATATATACAACTGCCTTTAATGCTTTTCTTATCTCAGTTTGATGCTGGCCTTGAGCTAGAATCTTTAAACTCTTTCCTCGTAATAGTGAACAAGGAGGGAAAACTTTCTATCCATTGCCTTCTTAGAAATGAGCTTATCCAATGAGCTTTCTTGCAGTGAGAACATGGTTCTGTTTTACAGTGATCAAAGAATGAAGAGATTAAAAAAATCCAGAATTCCAGGACTGAGGTCATTCCTCATAGCTACTACCCAACTGAACAACCTCACCAACACAGCCCATTAATTTGTCTTTTTATATTTTGATTCTGAAGAAGAGATTGTCACTCACAAGTCAGTAGACAAGGAAACTTCTAGATCATCACATATTTCTCCGCTACAATAATAGTTGATCATTTCCAGGCAACTCAATTTCTGCCTAAATTATTATTGTCTGATCTGTTTTCCTTTCTCTGGATGTGGCTGCATTTTGCTTTATTGCTTGTAAAATATGCTGTATTTTGACTGCACCATTTATTGATTACAATATTTAGTTTTATTCAGGTTTTATTTGCTAGAGCTAGAATATTTGTCTTTCTTTTTTTATGGTCATTGACTATAAAACAGTTTATTGACTGAAAATAACTCAGTTTATTGACTGAGAATAAATTGACATAAGCCCAACTCTCTGTGTAAATTATTTTTAGTTGTTCACTAAAACAACTATACATGAAAATTAATCTTTTGACACTTATACCTAACACACTCTCAATTCCATCCCTTGTCTAAATTTGTTTCCAATTCTTTCTTTAACTCGGTCCAAGTTATTTTTCTCCATCTCTTCTTCCAGAATACAAGGCCTTAGGATTCCCCATTTGTTCACTTCTTGCATATGCTACCTCATTTGGTAAAATCATCATTATCTATTTTTTCTCTCTCCTGCAGACCCTTTTTTGTGCGGTTATAATTCCAGTTTTATTCATCAGATCTGTTTGACTGTCCTTGTTTTATTTCCCTATATTTTCAGTTTTTAATTGACAAACTGTCCAAAGAACCCCAGTTACTTGGTACTTTAAATGGAAGGAAGATGATACCAGAAAACATGAATATTCCCAATGCCATTCACTCACTCACACCTCTACTTAATATAATTTTAGGCTCCCCAGATAGCAGAGGCTCTGCTATTATATTTTTTAAAAAATCGAAAAGCCACAAAATATAAATGCTACTTTTCAAAGAGGAAAGGAAACTATAATGCATACATATGCAAAGAAACATATATTGTCCCACGGTATAAGAGTTAAAATGTACAAAATTAAATGGTTAACATCTAAATATGACTGTCTTTAGGTTAAAAGCAACAGCAACAGCAATAGCACTTGGACTTATATAGCACTTCATAGTGCTTTACAGCCTTCTCTGAGCGATTTACAGAAATAATTGCCCACAACAATTTGGGTCATTTTGCCAGCCTCTAAAGAAGGCTGAGTCAACCTTGAGCCAATCAGGATCGAACTGCTGGCAGTCGACAGTTTGCCTGCAATACTGCATTCTAACCACTGAGCCACCTGGGCTCAAAAAATTGGGTTTGATCACCAATTTCTTAAGATAGATGACCATTTGGGCATTTATTGGATTCTATGAATTGAATTGCCCTCATCTTGACTGGAAGACCTGATTCATAAAGATATGATGAATCAGTTTCACAAACCCATAATTTTGATGTCACTGTGGCTTGTAAAAGAAAATTGTGCCTACGTCCATTAGTTATTCATAATCACTTCTCATTCATGTCATTTGATGTATAGCAGGGTACTCCATCTTCCTTTCCCTAGTGGATACTTTGATAAAAAATATGCCAAAAGACAAGGAGATGAGCTGTAGCTTAATGACAATGTTCAATCCAGCATTTTCAAGTAGGCTTTTATTTTAAAAAATTGACGCTCCTCTTAATGTTTCAAATCTGCTGATAACATTGGCAATGCTGAATGATCTATTTTAATCAAAGCCAATTAAACCTATAAAATGAGCTAAAAATTTCCTTCCCACACTTTATCTTGCTCTTTGGAGGGAGACAAATAATCTCTCATAACAGGTATAATTTCTGAGAATAGTTCAGTTAATAAAGGGGCAATTTTTCTTTTGTCTTTAAATAGTAATATTATATATACATTACAGATGTGTATAATATGTGTATAGAGATTTTTGTTTCAGAATTCTTTTTTTCTTTATTTTTACCAATAGTCCCTTAGACTTCCAGAAATTGATAATAACTAGGCATCTCCTAGTTGCCCTAAACTATATAACCAAGGCATATAGATTTTAATTTAGCACCATCTGGAGATCTAAGGGTTACTATCCCTTCTATGAAATCCTATTCCATTAATTGGGACTTGTTGCCAAACATGCAGCTTCAGGAACCTGATATCAGTAAAATTCAACCATATTTATCCATAATTTAATTCCTAAAACCAGATTTTCTGATTACTTTATGGAATAAACTGTGGAATGAGGTCTTGTCAACCCAACATGGTAGACCAGGCTAAGAAATCAATGTCATATAGGTCAGGACTATTTTAATTGTAACATCTATAGTAATATAAGCTACAAGTCTGAATGTGGTTTCTCCCTCCCTTGCTTTACCTTTGTCTGAAGTAAGGAGGGGCATTTTCTCAAATTATTTTGTTGTCCCAGGCTCAAGCCCCTCTTATCTGACTGTTAACTTGATAGTAGGATTTTTCTTGTGTCCTTCAAAACTATTCCTTATGCACCCTACAGGTCGTCTCTGTTGCCCAAGATTCTAAAAGTACTAAAGCTGGGTGAAACCAGGCTTAATAGCAGTAACTGTGAGAGAGATCTTGGAATCTTTGTGAACAACTAATTAAATATGAGCCAGCAGTGTGCAGCGGCAGCCAAAAAAACCAATGCAATCCTAAGTTGCATTAACAGAGGGATACAATCAAGATCAAGTGAGGTACTAATACCACTCTATAAAGCCTTAGTAAGACCATACCTAGAGTACTGCATCCAGTTTTGGTCACCACACTATAAAAAAAAAAAAGGTTGAGGCTCTAGAAAAAGTGCAGAGAAGAGCAACCAGGATGATTATGGGGACTGGAGACTAAAACATATGAAGAATGGTTGCAGGAACTGGGCCTGGCTAGTCTAGTGAAGAGAAGGACCAGGGGAGACATGATAGCAGTCTTCCAATATTTGAGGCGCTGCCATAGAGAGGAGGGGGTCAAGCTATTTTCCAAAGCACCCAAAGGCCAGACAAGGAATAATGGATGGAAACTGATCAAGGGGAGATTCAACCTGGAAATAAGGAGAAACTTTCTAACAGTGAGAACAATCAACCAGTGGAACAGAAGTTGCCTTCGGAAGTTGTGGGAGCATCATCACTGGAAGCTTTCAAAAAGAGACTGGACTGCCATCTGTCAGAAATGGTGTAGGGTCTCCTGCTTGGGCAGGGGATTGGACTAGATGACCTACAAGGTCCCTGCCAACTCTGTTAATCTGTATCTGTATCTGCTGTCACACTGGTATTCCATCAGTTCCCTGAGTTGTTCATAGTTTATGACAATGTAAAAAAGAATTACCCAACACCATAACATAATATTCACCGAATGATGCAATTTCCAATAGCGGTCAGACCCGATTCCTGTTCTATTGAGTGTAACAAGCTGAGGAGTTTGTGTGTAAATAGACAGAACTGATATCTTTATTGCTCAGACTGCTCATCTCTTTAAATGCTTGTGGTCATTCTCTAGTTTTTGAATTAAGCAATGTAGTATGTATGAGCAGCAGGTGTCCATAGATCCCTTGATGCTTACTATCT